ATTATTCATAACAGCTAAAAATGAAAACAACCCAAATACCCATCAACAGATAAACTCTGGCATATACATACAGTGGGAAATTATTCAGCAATAATAGAGAGGAAAGTATTGATACATGCTACACCATGGATAAACCTTGAAAACATTAAGCTTAAGTGAATAAAGCCATTCATGAAAGATTGCATTACTATTAGTTATAATTTGGAACAAAAGCAAGTCCTAGAATACAACTTTAGCATGATCACCTCACCCTCACTGTTTTGCTCATTAAGGCCAGTTGGGTAAATAAGCATGTCTTGATGGTGTTAGGTTGGCTGTTTGGTTTGGTTTTAGGGGAAATGTTCATAAGCCTCTTATCACTCTATATTTCCTGCTGATATCCCAGTTCCATAAGTCTACAACCTTACCCAAGGATGAACAGACAAACAAAAACAAAAAACACACCTGATTTTAAATATCCAGACTCACAAGAAACTTATCTTTGATGAGAATGTAAAAGTATGATTATATTCTATTAATATAGTTCACATTAGAAGCTTTCTTAATTTGCTTAAGCTAGACAGGAGCTCATAATAGAGAACAGCTTAGGGAGGGTCCCTCTTTCTTAGCAAAACTAGGGACACTGTGCTTCAAATTTCTGTCCCCCTTCTAAATACATCTAGCTTTCCCCACAATTTCTCTAATTACAAAAACATTCACTTAAAAATGCCCCCTTTATTTGTTTTTTCCCCATGGCCTTTTATCAAACAGAAATCATGAGTCATCAGTCCTACTTGGCTAGGGAAAGGGAACTATTTCATCTCCATGAAAGCTAATCTCTTCATCCTAAATATGCTCTATATTTGGTTTTTCCACTGCCATTTGGACATATAGTAAGAGTAATTTCATCTAAGACTTTATTCTTTCACTTGGGGGTTGGGAACACGAAGAGTGATTTTTCTCGACAAATAAAACGCAAGTTAAAAAAGTTTATTAGATTCATTTTGTTATCAGAATAATAGGGAAATTATCTCTCAGCCCCCTTCCATATATATGAAAGGGAGGACCTGCTGTCACAGCGACACAGCATACCTTCACTAAGCACCTGCTGAATCATTGAATATTTGTATTATTTTTCCGATATTCTTAGAACCTGGTAACGTGGTCTTCTAGGTACATTGCCACTGTTAGCCCTCTGATGAATGTGAACATGCGTGCCAGTGGACTAGTTCACATGTGGCCCCAGTCGCTTGCATTTCTACACCCATAGGGACCCAGATCTCCTTGAGGATCTTAACTAGCCTAATGCTAAATCAGATCCCACCCTGATGAGGATCTTATCAAGGAATTAGTTGTACCATACTCATCAGGAGAGCATGTTCTGCCTAGTTTTGATTCTGGAGGTTCAGGAGAATTTGTCTGCATGTGTAAGTTGCTCAGTCATGTCCAGCTCTTTGAGATCTCATGGACTGTAGCCCACCAGGCTCCTCTGTCCATGGGATTCTCCAGGCAAGAGTGGGTTGCCACTTCCTTCTCCACTCAGGGAGAGTTTAGTCCTCTACAACGTGAACATATTCATGACTGGCAGGAAAGGCCATGGATTCTTGCCTCAGGTGTTTGTCAGTGTGATGTTTGGAAGGTTTGGCAGCTTCTGCTAAAGGTAAAAATTCTAAGAAGCTTACTGCTGTTTGTAAGAAGATATGTTACAAGAGATAATTAGACCTACATTGGCAAAAATGCCAAAGTTCCCTTCCCATTCTCAAAAACCAGCTCTTCTCGTCAGGAATTTCTCAGCTGATAGAATTCAGATTAGACAGAAGAAAGAATATTGGCTTGGCTTATGGAGATCATGGGCCTTAGGGCTAGAGGTGGCCTGCAAGAATGGGCATTGCTTCAGGGAAACACATGAAGCTCTTTTGGCCAAAACTTTGGCCACCTGATGCAAAGAGCCAACTCATTGGAAAAGACCATGATGTTGGGAAAGACTGAAGGCAAAAAGAGAAGGGGTGGCCGAGGATGAGGTGGTTGGATGGCATCACTGACTTGACATGAATTTGAGCAAAATTAGGAAGATAGTGGAGGACTTAGGGGCCTGGCGTGCTGCAGTCTATAGGGTTGCAAAGTCAGACACACCACGCCTTAGCAAGTGAACAACAAACTACTTTGTAAATTACTCTTTTCCCCAGTCCAGGGCAGGGGAGGCAGCTTTACATTTTTTGTGTGAGGAGAAATCACTTTTCATTGATTCATTGACTGAGCATACATTTACCGAGTGACTGCTGTATGTTAGGATGTGGACACACTTCACACTTCTTGCCTTTAGAAGGAATATAGGTATGTTGTTAACCACTCCGAGTGAAATGAGAGGTCTACACAAAGTATTATGGGACTGTAGTCTGAGGAACACATTGCCTGGTGGAATCATGGAGGGTTCTTTGAAAAGGTAGGTTTTAAAGATACATACAAGCTTACAAGGCTAAGGATGGGGAGAAGAGGGTAAAGAGAGGAGGTATTAGGCAGAGAATGTCACATGGTTTAAAGTGTTGATGCCAAGTAGGCAGATGTGCTCAGGAAACTGAATTCTTATTGAGAAGGTTTGAAGACTATGATTGGTGGTGATGGGCAGAGAGGTGCTTAACTGTGAGAGAATGAGTTGAAACTGTGAACATGCTGGCAGGGTCAGAAGTCAAGGGGCACCCAATAAGATGCAGCAAGGCTTGAGGGCACATCCAACTGGGTGCTGTGAGTGTTGGAAGGTTTTGCAGGTTGTGGGAAGATTGGCTCCAGTGACAGCCAGAGACAACCCTTCTAGTCCCTGGAGAAATCTGCAGTTTTCTAATTACAAGAAAAGTCATCTCATTCTTCTGAGGCTTCCTCAGATGACACAGTGGTAAAGAATCTGCATGCAATGCAGGAGACATAAGAGATGTGGGTTTGATCCCTGGGTCTGGAAGATCCCCTGAAGTAGAAAATGGCAACCCATTCCAGTATTCTTGCCTGGAAAATCCCATGGACAGAGGAGCCTGGCGGGCTACAGTCCATGGGGTCCCTCAGTCCATGGGGTCACAAAGAGTTGGACGTGACTTAGCGACCCAACAATATTTCACTGTTTTATCCTTAAATGACCATTTCATTATCAGTTAGCTAGGGAAAAACACAATCTCAGACAACATACTGACACTGGTCTACTCTGGGGCCCTACTGGTGTTCAGAAACTACAGGCTATGAAACCCATGCAATGTTAGGCCATTTCCTTTTCCAGATGTGACCTCAGAGGGGAATGCATATCAGCAAAAAGAGCAAAATGGACAGCCCAAAAGGATCATAAATTTTTCTTAAAGTTCAAAGCACTTACCTCATGAAGCTTAGTAAAAGCAAAGACTGGAAAACAGAAGGTTCTCTAGGTCTTAGTCAGTAAGAAGAACGTAAAAAGCTGTTTAGAATGGCTGAAAAACCCTCTTCTGACTATAGTATACTATTTTATTTTAAAACTATAGTATACTATTTTAAAATTTGACTATTGCTCAAAAAGCTTATGCATTTACTTTCAGACACTCAAATAAGGGCATCAGCACTTTTCCAGGACCAGTTGATGGGATTTGAATTTTATTTCTAATTATTCTGCTACCAACTAAAGAGTACATTAACTCTGGTTTTTCAGAGCAGGGGTCTTGAACTTACCTATGAAGATGGAATTTTTAGTATGTTGTAAACATTATTATGCCAACCAATTTGAGAAATCTAGTAGTGAATTAATGCTAAATGAGGTCAACAGATTTCCTCCACCAACCATTAAAAGGTGCTAGTGTCAGATACTTCTTAAGCTTGATGGAATAAATGAAAAATGGCATGCTTAACATTTAAAATCTATTTTCTATAACCAAATGGGTCATTTGGTGATAGCAGTGGTAGGAAAAAAAAAACTTTTTCAAAATTATTTCTTTGTAAAGGAGGTTTCTACATTAAGAAGCTTGAAACAGAACTTGGCATAGTGTGGGTGATCATACTCTAATTAGATTATTCAAAGTCATTGGCACTAATTTATACTCAAGAAGAATTATTAACTGGGGTGGTTTTTATTACATGATGTGCTTATTATGCCTTTTCACCATTTAAATCAATAAACAAAACAAAACATGGTTATGTATCTCTGGTTCTGATGACAGTGTCGGTACAGACATCAGGGCATAACTTTTCAACATTATAATTATGTAGACCAGTTTCATGTATTTCTATTACTTGGATATTATTTTAGACAACGTTTATAAACTTGTTATGGAGGAGCTGCAAAATTTTCAGATTTTAATTTGAAATTTTAATAGGCCTATTTTAGTATCAGAAAATACAGATTCACCTTTGGGAAAATGTCTTTCTCTTAAATTATTATTAATGTATTTGTAAAAATAACTTCCCGCCCCTAAGGTCATCCATTCACAAGTGTAGAGATTTTTTTTCCTTTTTCTAAATAAACTGATCTCTCTTACTTACTATGCACATACATTGCTTATCATTCTCAACTACTTGTTACCTATATACATATATTAATAGCATATAGTTATTTGATATATACATTGTACATACACATATTCATTTTTGCAAAATGTTTGAAGACTTTTACTTTAAAAAAATTTAATGCCCAATGAAACTTGGATAAAAACCTAATAACATCTTATCTTACAAAAAGTTTGTATCAAATCAACTTTATTTTTGAACACTGTACAAAGATTTTTCCACTTTAAAAATCCATGAGGACCATCCAGTTACACACCAGCAGCAGAACCAAGGGTGGGTAGGCCAGGCTGTAAGCTGATGGTCTTTCTGAGCTGTGCTTCCACTGCCCTGTCTCTAGATACACTAACTCCAGGGCCATCTTCTTCTTGTTTTTTTTTTCCCCTTTATTTTTCCAAGGATGGCAAAGCATTCTTGAAGACTTGCTATTCTCATGACCAGAGACCTTTTATGTTTATGAAAAATCTGAAAATCAGAGAAAGCCCAAAAAATAACAATCATTTCAAACCAGAGACAATGAATTTTTTCCTTCATTTATTCAAAGTCACTGCAGGAAGTAAACACTAAAAGATTAAAAAATAAAACAAAAAAATTCACACTGCAGTATGTACAATTTCATGACATCACATGAAGAAATTAAATTTCTAATAAAAATGACAAATTATATTACTGAGCAGATTGCATCAAAATTGGTTGTGTAAACCCCAGAATTCATACCAGGAACGGTAGTGTGCCTGTATTCCAGAACCCTGGAAAACTCCTGGCACATGTTTCCAATGGGATTAAAAAATTCATGAAAGTAGTTGTGTGAACTCTTTAGTTTGAAAAGTGGTTGACTTGATTTAAAAAGTTTTAAGACCCTTGGATTCAAAGCATTCTTCCACAAAGCTGAAACCACAGAAGTCGCGTCCAGAAATGGAAATACTGTTATGTTGGGGTGAACATCTGATCTGACTTAAGACATTTTACCAAATGCACAGATGCACAGGGTCCCCCATGCACTTTTCATGCAGCAGGTAATCACAACTTAAATAAAAGGCTTATTCTATACATTTGTCCAGGCTTGCAACTGTATACATACATGCACAATTTTTAAACCTGTCCGATTATATTTACACTTGTACATGGAATATACAGAAACCAAAGAGATTAAAAGGCTTTTCTGTTGTATTAGAACAATACAAAATATGTATTTTTTCATTAAGGAAATCACTATTTACATCACCTTTAAAAACCAATTTTAACATCTTCATGTAACAAGTCAATATATATATATATACATATTATATATATATATATATATATAAAATATATACTCTCACCAATTTACTCTTCTGTAAGATGCAGCAGAGAGCAAACAGGTAATGCTACCTTACTGATGTCAATGAGAACTGTAGTACCCTTTCACAAGTGACTTTGTTAAGAAGAAACTGTCTAGATATCTAAAATAGTCCTTGAAAATGTGTATATGTGCATCCTTGTATCTACATATGCATAAACGAAGTGCATTTAGGGATGTATGCCCTTTCTCACCACTCTTCTTTAAGATCGTACTAAACTCAAATTGGGGACACTTCTCTAGTATATCAGAACAGCCTTCTTCTTGGTCGGGTTTATCTATATACGACATATCTTCATTTCTTTGACTGCTGACAATAACCACCACCAAAAAACAACCAATCAACCAAAGGAAGGAAACAAACAAACAAAAAATACAATGTTGGCCCTTGATCTTCTTTTTCCTGACCTAAATTTCACTTCCTTGTAAAAGCCCATTTTCCCCTAACCAAGGGGGAACAACAGCAGTTTTTCTAGCATACTTCTAAGGCTCCAGAACTTTCAGAAAAAAATGACTTGTTTTAAAAGCTTATACAGTGTAGACAGTAAGACTGTCAGAGAATAAAGATGGGATGCAGTTGAATATCTTCACTGGCCAGTGAAATTTTCATGACATGGCATAATATTCACTCCTATTATTTTTTAATATATTCAGTAACTATTTACAAATCATTCTGAGAAAAAAAATAATCATTTAGGGTTTTAGATCATATTAGGAAATAACGCCCATTTTTAATATAAAAATCTTAGAAACAGCTTCAAGTAGAACAATTTCAAATAGATTTTCTTCTAATTAATAGTTGATTATGTAACAGTTTTTTGGTAGGTCAGTTGCTACCTGGGTTCACAATTAAAACCAAATCTATCTGGTGAATGAATTGTAGATGGTAAAAAATGAACTGAAAAACATGGATGTGTTTCAAGACAGAAACCCCATGTGGCTCAATAATATATTAAGTTCTTCCAAGAAAACATCAATGTTTACTTTTAATCACTATTTTAAAATAACAGATCAGATGGAGTGACTGTGTACAACTCTGCCATGGATATGTGCCCTTTATGTTTTTGTTTAAGCAATCTGAGTTTAGCGCCTTTCTTGGGTGTGAAACGTGTTTTCATCTTTGTCAGCACTGTTCTTAGGACAATGGTTTTCACAGAAGTTAAGGATGTATTCAGGAGGAGTTGCCAAACCATCCTGGAATCACCTGAGTTTGGTAAGTGGCCCTGTTATTCCATCCCTAAGGCTAATTAAGTAGATGTTACTCATTGGAACACACAAGTAATCACATATTTTTCCTGAGATGTTGAGCCAGATATGAAAGTTGTCCCCTCCACCCGATTTTTTTTTTTTTGTCATAAAAAGTATTCGGAACCCGATTTCCAAAGACATAACAGTAATAATATGAAGTACAATATTGCAAATTTTGAGTTGACGTGTGACTACATTGGGGAAAATATAGGCATCAAATAGTTTGTTTACAATCCTGTTTTTTGAGAAAAGTCGTAAGCAGTGGTTTCAATTTTCAAAATCCAAATGTCAGTGTGCAGAAGAAACCCCTAGGGAGTGTATTAAGATGCAGAAGGAAGACTCCCAGGTCCACTCAGCAGAGAATTCTTGTTTGGTAGATCAGAGATGCTGCCTGGGAATCTGCATTTTAAAGCAAGTGCTCTGGATGATGCTAATGCAGGTGGTCTGAGTCCAGCTTTAAGAAACCCTGGTCATCAGACTCACAGAGATGGTGAGAAGTGGCTTTTACAAGATATGGTGAAACTGTCCAAAGAAAAGCCATTTTGCTTGTTAAAAACAACTTATTTCAGTTATTTAGGAAACCACCTGAAGATAAATGTTAACTTTCTTAATTCTGTAAAAGGAGGAATATTAATTTAGTAAAGTAGTTAAAATACAAAAATGGAAATCTGCCTTTTTTAAAGATCTATCAAACTTCCACCAATTGTAATCAATTTTTACCAAGTAGTACAAGGTTTAAAGAGATACAGAATATTGAAAAGGAATGGGGAAGGGCAGACACATCGAGGAATCACAAAACCCCTTTCAAGAGTCAAAAATAATTTTTTTTTAGCAAAAGTGAAAAATGTAAGCATATATTTTTCTAATTTGTTTTGGAACTGAATGAGAAATGAAACAGCACTAGGTTTTTTAAATTCAATAATTACCCTTTAAAGAGTTATTATTTAATAATGTGGACTTTAAAAAATGTGTTATGTAGGTTGCTTCTGAAAAGCAAAATCAAGTACCCTAATAAAGGCAGCAATGCATTAATCTGCTGGATGGAGATTTGTATTTTAATTTATGCCTATTACCTGTGATTAAAAACAGAATTATCGCTCATGGGCTACTCACAGTTGTTGTCTGATGCATACAGAAGGTGTCAAACCAATGGCTAGTTCGGCAGCTTCCTCATGACATTTAACATGAAGCAAAAAGTAGTCTGCATATTTAAACATCACCATCAACCAATACTTTTCAAAACGAAAAAGTTTCAATTATACCATGCTTTTCTCAAATCATGCGCTTATTTATACAGATCTCAAGTTCATATTCGTTAGTTTTAAAAAGATCCAAAGGTGGATGGCAGGTCCATTTTATTCTGATTCCTTTTTTATTGTTAGCATGTTTCCCAGAAGTCCATAAACTTCTCCGTTTGCGCTGTGCGGGTGAGAAGCATTATTTCCCATATGGCTATTATAAGTGCTCCTTAAGTTAAAGAAAGAAGCTTTAGTTTCTACAGCAGGAAGTAACTCTTCTTTGATTGTAACCTGTGAGATACTTTCAGCAGATGAAGGCTCCCTCCAAATGTCCCTGTCCTGTGTTTCTCGACTGGTAACAGAGTTGCCTCCTTTCTGGAGCATGTAATAGAGTATTGGGTTGGTTTTGGTCAGTCTCGGAGAGTCTTTCTCATGTTCATTCTTGTCCACATCTGTGATAACCCACTTAATGGGTCCCTTCTCACTGGGCATGGGACACCCATTCACAAGCCCAGCTTCTGGTCTAGACCCTGTGCAGCCCAAGTGCTCCGGGAAAGGAGGACTCAGGGGGGCCTTTCCAACACCTGGGTATGGAAATGTCCTGTTGTCCATGCAACCGCTGGGCTGAGCGGCACCGTACATCAGTCCATTTAGAGAAGCAATGCTGAATTCAGGCTTGCTGTTGGTCACATTGTTTCTGTGGCCTTTCTTCTTACTGTCAACCACAGAGTTACTCCTGTGCTGAGACAAATCTCTCACGCAGTTTTCTGAGAGGAGCAGCTGTTTCAGGACGTTGAAGCTTTTGCTCTCTCTGGTCCAATTCCTGGGTTCACTTTCGCTGGCCGAACCATGACTGGCAGGATGCTTAAACTCAAGATCACTTCTGCTAAGTTTCAGCTCTTGCTGGTTAAGCAAGGACCCATACAGCACCTCCGGAGCACTGTGACTGTTTGCAGCATCGACTATGTTATTTTTCATCTTTTTAAAGGGGTTTTCTAACGGCTCGGTGTAAAGCTTCCTTTTCTTAGGGACCATACAAAGGTTCTTCGATTCTACAAGTGTCAGTTCACTGTTTCTGTGACTGCTGTCCAGCTCATCAGCCAGGTGACTGTCTTGATTTTGTCTCAGCAATCGACTCAGCAGACCATTCTTTGAGAAAGAAAAATCCTGAGGTGAGCCGGGCTCTGGTTTCAAGTCCTCGGATGCTGGTAAGGCAGGGGCGCTTCTCTGCATGGGAGGGGCCATCCCTAAGAAGGGGGTGCCCGGAGCCTCGTGGCTCAAGTGCATGCCCATGGCATGCGGATGTAAGTCATCGCAAGGCTCAGATTTTATTTTCACCATCAGTATTTGTTCACTTAAAGCTCTATCTGTATGTTCCTGAGTGCTCTCATCTCTTAAGGGCATCTTCTCTTTCTTTTCGGTCTTCCCTTTGTTGGGATTTCCCAGCAGTAACTGGAGGACGGTGCGCCTTTCAAGCAGATTTTCTATTTCAGACCCAGAGAGTCCCGGTTCAGGACCTATTGTGTGACTGCCGAATGCTTTCTTCTCTTCAGCTGCACTTGTTTTATTGGCTAGCAGAGGGCTGTTCAGTCTGTCAATCATACCTGGAGGTTTATCTGTGTTTACACTCAGCAGCTGCTTACTGGGTCTCTGCTCTTCCCCTGACATGGAAGACTGCATTCCACATTGCGCTAAATTTTGTAACAGTTTACTGGCACTGAAAGTGGCTGAGTTTTGTGCACCTTCATGTTGGATGGCTTTCTCCCCCTGCGATTCTTTGCTTTTTGTAAGGTCCATCAGGTGGTTCGAGGCGGTATTCGCTGGCTTTTCAGGCTGGGGGCCACAGGTATATGGTGGGGAATTCCATTTGATGACCACAGAGTGTTGGGAAAGGTTGATGGGAGAGTCGGCTTTGGTGGATGCAAGTAATGGTGGAGTGCTCACGGGAGTAGTCCTGTTGGCGCTGGGGCTTTCTATTACAGACGTGCGGGTGTAATTCTGTGTGCTGAACTTTGCCTCATCGCTGTGTGCTTCCTGAGGGCTGCTGTTTCTTTCCACGTTTTCTTCATTCTTATGGCCAAGCAGCAACTGAAGAAGGGTGACCTTCTGGTGCGGATTTAGCTTAGAATTCTTTGAGGTATCTTGATCTTCTTTGACGTCAACTTCGGGGACTTTTGGATCCCACGTGTTGAGCAAGGACTGAGTTAAGTTATCCAGAGAAACAGGCTGGTCGGGTTCGGGTTTTTCTATCCGGTGTTTGCAAGACAAGTCGATGGGGACACAGTTGGAGTAAGAACTTTCATCACCACTGCTCTCATCGGTAAAGCTGGGATTGTGATCTGAGTAGTCATCAATAGTTGTAGGGGTGCTGCCCTCCTCAAAAATGCTTCCTCTCTCACTGTGACTGTGTCCATTCATCGGCTTGGGTATGGTCTGACTTTTAAGAAGATGTAAAAGCAAACTGTTATTAGCAGCCTGTTTTATATTGTTTCTTTCCAGGGAGTTCTTATAGCCTGCATTTTTGGGGGAAGAAGGGACAATGCCCATTGGATTCTGAAATGCTGTACTTTTGCTAGCCATTACTTTGTTTGCTGATGTTCTTGCCTGACCATTAAGATGGCCTGACATGCCTTTGGAGAGCTGGAAACTGCCCATGTCCTTCTGGCCATTTTCTTGTAATCTGGCCATGGCAGCAAGCCTTTCGCTTGCTGCCTGATTTGCATTTTGTGTTTTTAAAGCATGTTCTCGAGAATACTGCTGTAAATGGGCTTCGCTGGAGAGAAGAAGTGCTAGTTGGCTACAAGCAACACTGGGTTTGGGTGAAGTGGCAGGACTAGCCCTTTTCTCCACCATGCTTGCAACAGCCTGTAATCTTGCAGCGCAAGACAAGGGTTCGCTCATGACCTTTGCTCCGCTCTGCCCAACGTGATGAGGTGACTCTATGAACCGATCTCTGATGAGGGTTTTTGTGACATCAGGAACACTGGTATCGGGCTTTTGATCTTTAGCTTTGCTTTTCTTCAACAGAGTTTTTAAGTGACTCGATGCAACCCCATAGCACCTTAAATCTTTCTCCACTTTTAAAGAATTATGACTCAGGGCGTATCCTTGCTCCTTGAGGCTCTGCCTAATTTGTTGTGACAGGGCAACAGTCTGCAGCCTAGAGCTGAACGACTGGAGCAGAGAGGCCAGTACCTTGCTGTCCTGTTTGCCTTTAGGCGCACTGTCAGCCATGCCAGCCAGCAGAGCCTCCTTCTTTACGTTTAAATTTACGATGGAATCAGACAGCCTCTTCCGCTTTGCTGCATTCCAGTCCTCAGAAGACTGCAAGAGTCTGGCTTTTTTGAGGTGCAGCATGCCAGATCCCTGATACGTGTGTGTGCTGAGAACTGGACCATTACGCTGACAGGTGGGAAACGCGCTACCAGAAATGTTAAAGTTCGGATCGTCTTCATTACGCCCGGCAGACGCTTTGTCGACGGCGGTACCTGACCCCTCTGCTGCCTGATGCATTAGTAATCCTTCTAGGTAAGTTAGAACAACAGAATCCTGGTGCACATCAGAGCCAAGCTCTTCTCCATGAGTCATGTTCAATAGAAGTGCTCACGAGGGCTTGGTTTCTATTCACTTTGAGGAATGGTTTTCTGCAGGGGTGGGGGGGGAGAGATGTAACTTCAATAAGTGAGTGTTGGTTTATCACCTTCCATAGTAATTAGACAGAGGTATGCGGTTCCATTCTGACCAGGATTACTGCTGGCTGGCAATGATGAGACAAAAGGCAGGCAGACTGTGGTGGAGTCTGACCTCAGAGCTGGGAACTCCCAAATAAGAAACAGCAGAAATCCTCTAGATACAGAGCTGCCGTGGCAAGCAGACCGAATCCTCAGTGAATACACTGCTTTTCCTTCATCTTCTGTTCCCCAGTAAACGCATATATCAGTGTTCTAAAAAATAAAGAGAAAACAGTTAAGAAGATGAAGAATTAGAATTATGCTCTGATACTTGTAGGCAAAAAATACAGCACTTGTGTCTATGTGTGTATATATACATATATACAATATACATAATGTATGCATTGCAGAGCTGCCTTATTAGTTTATTGTCATTCCTATCAAATTGGAAATCTCTACTGGAAATCCTATGTATTAATCCATATTGTTAAAAAGATCTAATCAGTTAGAGAAAATACTTTAATGTTCTGTAACTGTCTTACAAGCCCACCAAGGTTTTGAATTTTCATAAACACCTTTCTGCAAAGTTGTATGAATGGTAAATCTCTTCTACAGCACCACAGCTCTATGAGGGGCTGGAATGAGCTTCCTTACATTACTAGGTGCTTTGTAAGGAACAAGAGAAGTACGAAAAAAGGAAAAGAGATCCTTGTGACATGAACTCATCAAATGAGTTAGATGTGGTGTTGAGCATCAAAAGAATTGATGCTTTTGAACTGTAGTGTTGGAGAAGACTCTTGAGAGTCCCTTGGACTGCAAGGAGATCCAACCAGTCCATCCTAAAGGAGATCAGTTTGCTTTTGAACTACGGTGTTGGGGAAGACTCTTGAGAGTACCTTGGACTGCAAGGAGATCCAACCAGTCCATCCTAAAGGAGATCAGTCCTGGGTGTTCGTTGGAAGGACTGATGTTGAAGCTGAAACTCCAATCCTTTGGACACCTGATGCAAAGAGCTGACTCATTTGAAAACACCCTGATGCTGGGAAAGACTGAATGGGGGAGGAGAAGGGGATGACAGAGGATGAGATGGCTAGATGGCATCACCGACTCGGTGGACATAGGTTTGGGTGGACTCTGGGAGTTGGTGATGGACAGGGAGGCCTGGCGTGCTGCGGTTCATGGGGTCACAAGGAGTCGGACACGACTGAGCAACTGAACTGAACTGAATTAGGGGACTTGCACCATTTTTAGCTTAGAAAATATGATTGTGTGCTCAGTCCTGTCTTACTCCTTGCAACCCCATGGACTGTATAAGCCTGCCTGGCTCTTCTGTCCATGTAACGTTCCTGGTCAGAAGACGGGAGTGGGTTGTCATTTGCTACTCCAGGAGATCTTCCTGACCCAGGGATCAAATCCACATCTCCTGCATTGGTAAGTGGATTCTTTACCACTGAGCCACCTTGAAAGCCTTGTAACACATAAAAGACTATGTATATACACTAAGCTATCACTTTACCCCATAGAAAATTGGACAGGAAACAAATTTAGGATAGAATTGAAGAGGAATAATGGCTTCCAGAAAACTCTAAGTTAAAGTGGTTATTTTTCATTAATTTCTTTGAAAAGAAAATTCTGTAAACAGCACCGATTACATGAAGCAAGCAAGATAAAGAGCTTTTCATAGAAACCTGTATTTTCAACTTTCTAAGGTTAAAATAATTTGATTTAAAGCTAGTATTAACCCAGCATTTTCTTTTTGTGGAAAGGCAATCATATTATTTCTGAATCTCCAACATATGGCTGGCCTGCTTGATTTTTATATACATGTTACTTAACGCTGCCACGTGATGTACTCTACCTGAGCACAGTCAATTTCAAATAACTCAGTGTCAACACACATTTAAAAATTAGGTTTCTTTGGAGATTTACAAGCAATATATTTAGCAACTAGAATATTTCATAAAATGCTGTGATTCACTGCTTTGTCAGTGAATCTAATGGTTTATTTTTAACTTCCATAGCGATTTTATTAGAACTTGTATACACATCGTTTTCAAAATATTCAACACTCTTCATAAACAAAATAAGGAAGAAACTTGACTTGTAGGACAAATACTTAAGTGATTTGTGTGGGAAGGGAACAGAATTAGCCAAAACATTTGGTTTATGGAAGGTAAGAAGGACCAAATAAAGGGGGAGTAAAAGTACTGAGGGGCAGAAGAAAATAGGAAAAAACAAAAACAAATGAAGGACTCACAAATTTTGCAACTCTCGAAAGCTTTAGAAAGAAAAATGTAGTTTAGAAACTAACATATTAATACCTTCTTGAAGCATTAGGTTGGTAGGAATGACAGGCAAAATGAAGAAAGATTTCTTTAAGGGACACTGAAAATACATACATATTTATATATGTGAATGGGGGAAAATATAAAACCTACCCAGTGATAAATTACAGGCTGGATAAAGAACATCTGTTTCAACTTAGTTGCCATTTGTATAGGGTGATTCCATTAAATTCTTAGAAAAATATTTTCTGGTTTTAACAAAAAAATTAGTGTAACGCTATACCAAGAAATGACTTAATTTTGATTTTGGAACTGTAATTCTAAATCAAAATCAACTCTTTATAATTTTAACAAATTCATTTAAGCTGCAGTATACCAAGAATAGTAGTCATCACCGTTTACTATCTGCGTCCAGTGAACATTTCATTACTATTTAAGTCAGTTTGTGAATAATTTACGGAATAGTAAAGAGACAATGGAAAACAACTTCACTAGAATTTTTCATGAGAATTTACACATAGCAAACCCAATTCTTAATTCTATATTTTCCTGGTTTTGAAGGACAACATATCTGAAATGGGAAAAGGCATTTTGGAACTGATAGCTTAACTACTGTCACGCATGAACATGTAAGTACTTTGTAAATATCGATTCTAGATTTCAAAAACATGTCTAAAATGTTCTAGACTTCTTTTTGTATTTGTATTAATATAATTCAAAATGTGCTAACTTTGGAAACTTTGACAACTCAAAATTATACTGAGGACAGAAGGATAGAAATCTTCCTTGTTACAGAATTACAAAATATTTTTTGTTTTTAGATTTATTAATACCACTTATATCATTTCCAGGTCATTTATTTTCTTCCAGTTTCTTTTAATTACACACCGGCCTTGTGTACTTATCAACTTCTGAACTGTTTCAAAAAATGTGGGTGTGTCAGCATCATAAAAGCAAGCCAGAGCAGGTGAGGTTCCTGTCACAAAATGCTGAGTGATGAAGTCCTGCCTATTAAGCAACTAACTTAATACCGCAGGAGAAAATACTGTGTTTCCTTTTTGCTTTAGAACTATATTGTTACGGCAACTAGGTGAAGTGATGGATATGTTAACTAACCTTACTTTGGTAATCATGTACATAGCACCTCACCACATTATACACCTTATAAAGTGTGATACATAAATTACATATCTATTAAGCTGGGGGCAGGGAAAGAACTATACTCTTCACTCACTGACCCTTAAGTTTGAGAAAATTCATCTAGGATACTGTCATCTGAAGACATAGCTGGAGATGTTGCTTATACACTCAACGTCACCATCATCAATTGTGTCTGGAATGCTACTATCAGTCTCTGCATTCATCCACTAATTCATCTAATAGAAGCATCTTCGTATGCCAACTTTCTTCTCTTTAACATTAGGGACAGAAGATAGAAAATACTGAATTCTCTACTATACTTGCTAAAAATTCAAAAGCAAAAGACAGCAAAGATAGTCTCCAGACATTTTCTTTTTACACTCTTGAAAGATAATACAGTATTAATGGGCTATGCTATTAAAAAGTTGAAGATAATACAATAATGATGACATTTTACTACTGCATTATTCTTTTAGGCACTTTCATTAAGTTCCTTTGGCTTATTATTTTAGTCTTTATATCCCACAGTTGGAAACAAATGATGAATTAATTTCCAAAATCATAAAAGGTCAAAATGATGAAAGATATATAGGAAAAATACAATCACTAAGATTCCATAGTATATGTTCGATTTATAAAAAGTTCCGATGGACACATGTTAATAGCAAGATACAATGTTTTTCCCTATTAAAAAACACATTCATTGAAACTTTAAAAAAGAATAAAAGTCATATAATACAATCCTTCCTACCAAACAACTTCAAACCAAAACTGAGTCCAAAGAACCCTGATAGTATACCAAAGGTTGATGCATTTCAAGATAATTTAATAAAATTCATGTATAACCATTTACAATATTAAAATCACAAATGAAATCTTTCTCTTATTAATCTAAAATCGTTTATAAGCATAAAAAAATCTCTTAAAAATTGAGATTGTACTGGTTCACTAGCATGCAGTAAAAACAATTGTTGCTGTGGCAGGACATTATTAGAAAATAATAATAAAATCAAACTAAACCATAAAAGAATTCCATGGAATCTTGGCCCTATGCATAGATAGATTTTGGTTTAGAGTTTTAACAGATAAAAGACAGTTGTAATTAATATGCATAATAACAATTCCCAACTAGGTGTACTACTGATTCTCTGAAAATATTTCCACTGAAGCAAGGGTTTACATTTTCCATTTGAAAATTAAGCAAAGGGAAAGTTCACTGAATTTTTAAACCCTTTTAAAAATGGTAAAATCCAAGTAAAAAGATTTTATTTTAATAAATGAAGAATGGTCTTTCTCTAGCTGTTTTTAAGGAAGGGATTCAGTAACTTACTTGCAATCAAATTCCCCATTAAAAACACATTTCAATGATTAACACCTATGAAGTCACTTCATATTTATTTAAATGATATCTAATGAATACCTCATGACTTCCAACTGTTTTCATGAAATCTCCTCCAATTTCTTCTGCATTATCAAGTGACACCTGTTTGAGTATTGAATTTAAAGGTATTTCTGCAATGCCACTTGAATGAGCACTTGGATTCTTGGCTCTGGTTCCTGGAAATGTAGAAGGAATTGAAAGGCTATTCCTATTGGGCAATATTACCTAAATTTCACTGTAGATGATTTTGGCGATGCAATATGCAAAAGGAAAGACAAAGAGTAAGATGTTTCAGCAAGCATTAGAAGAAAAATATGTAAGTACCAAGACAATTGCAAAGTCCTAATTATTGAAACATTTTACTTAAGCAATACAAAATCCAGGTAAATGATTCAGAGAACCCTTGGTGTTCTCCAAGGTGAGACTTTGAAAGAAAGTTTTAACAGTTAAACAAGGAAAAAAAAAAA